TTTTTTTTTTTTTTTGAGACAGGGTCTCACTATGTAGTTGAGACTGACCTGGAACTCACTCTGTAGCCCAGGCTGGTCTCCAACTCACAGCGTCCTGCCTCACCCTCCCTAGTGCTGGGATTACAGGTGTGCGCCACCACACCTGTAATCCCATGGCTTCTCATGATCATTTGACTTTGGAGAAGAGCCAGAAGTTGCATGGTGCCAGATCCCATAAATAAGGTAGGTGAGGAAACACTGTAATGTGTTTACAAGCCTGCTTTTCCACTGGATGACACTCACTAGCAGCATTGACTGTACTTTTGAGCATACCTTGTAAAAACACACACAAAAGACTTCCAGAACTGCTTCAAAAATGGCAAGAAAAACAGAATGTGTTCCAAGCCAGGGGAGTACTCTGAGGGTGATTAATGGCAATGTGTCTTTTACTGTATGTTATGGCTTGTGTCTGGATGTTCCCGAAAAGCCTCGCGAAGTCCTAGGTGGGGTTTTTTCAGAGGTGACTGGATTAGAGTGTGTGACTGATTCATGGCACAATGCTAGGAGTAACAGTGCTGGGACTAAGGGTGGGGGATTACTAAATCAGGCTACTGATTGGTTTGGCACCATCCTAATTCCTGGATACAATACAAGGGACAGGGAGAGGCTTGTCTTTTCCCTTGCTTGCTTTGCTGCCTTCTGCCTGCCATGAACTGTGTCTCCTCTGCGATACTTTTCTGCCAGGCCACCCTTCCTTGGAGCCAGCTGGCAATGAGCTGAAACTTCTACCAACTGTGAGCTAAAGAAGCCCTTTCCCCCTTAACTTTGGGTGTTGGGCATTTTGTCTCAAAAATGAGAGAAAAGTAACTAAGACACTATAATAAATTTTAAAAACCTAAACATTCACCACATATTTTGATCACACTAAGTTAAGGTCAGGAATAGTCCAGGCTGCATACACCAGCTTGGAAGACACCAACAGACAGAAGCCACAGAACTCACTGAGTGGGAAGAAGGCAGGGCAGAAGAAACAACCTGGGGAAAACCACAATTTTAGAGCTGTATTCTTTCCCCACCCTCTTACCTTTCAATTTCTAATCAAAGCAAATAAAGGCACACTCTTTATCTATTTGGTTTATTTGCCAGTAGCTGTAATTCTGGTTCTGTCAGACATCCCTTTGTTGGTTAAATTGTCACTAAAGAAGGGTCAAGGAGACAACTTCAGAGTTTGCGCTGGGAGAGGGGATGGTGGCGGTGGGAGGGCTGAAGCCGAGCTCCTCAGGAGTAACTGCCTGGCCCTCCCAGGGGGATGACAAAGACGGAGATGTCGTCCCCAGAACCCAGCTTGTTGTTGGAGAGACGCCAGCCACGGTCCCGTGGGATGCCCCGGGCCCCCAAGACCAGAGCTTGGGCCAGAGCTGTATACCTGCCAGGAGCACACATGTACATTTATGTACCAACATACGGGGGCTCCAATCACGGCTTCCCTTTGCCCCTTCACCACCATGCCATGCAACGCTACCTGCTTGGGTCATTGGGCTCATAGGCTGACAGCACCCTGTCCACTGTGGCGGCTACCTCACAGTCACTGGTGACATCCCACAGGCCATCTGTTCCCAGGACTAGCACGTCGTCTGGGCAGTGCTCATACTGTGTCAGGTCATATACCTGTACCTGGTGGGGAAAGGTGGCAGAGAGAACTGAGGTATGGCGTGTGCAGGACAAAGCTAGAAGATAAAGGGGTCCTGGATTAAAGCCAGCCCAGACCCCCAGAGGAAGGAAGGTGTGGTTAAGGGAGACCCCACAGAGCTCACCTCAGGGAAGCAGGAGAGGAAGGGCTTGATGGGCAGGGTGGAACTGCAGACCTTCAGGTTGTGGTCTCCCAAGCCCCGGGTCACCCCAATGGTGGCCATCACTCTGGCCTGAGGGAAACAAGGAGGGTGCTGCTGTTTAGTCCTCTGCCAGACTCTCAAACCATACAGACCCCAGGTAGGACCTCCACCTCCCTAGACAGGTCGTAAAGGGTTCTCCTGCCCTCTTTCACCTCTACAATGGAATTTACCTTTTTGCCCTCCCCACAGACCAGAGGAAACCTGAGATCCTCCAGCTCGATCTTTTTGTAGGCCCTGGGGAGGAGGAGTACAGGAGGCATCACCCAGGCATCAAAGCCCCTGCTCCCTGGGAGCCGCTCAAAGAACCATATCCCCCAACCCCCAGGCTGGCCCAAGCCTCAGTTTCCACCCTGCTCCTGCTGAGGGGGTGGGTTATGTTGCCATGGAAACAGCCCCAGCTCTGAGGGAAGTGTTACCAGCCAGTCATGTTCTGGTCCCTGTACAGCATCCTCTGCCCCAGCTCCTTGGGCTGGATTCTTCGGGGGAACTCAAGGTGAGTAAATTCATTGCCCAGCAGCTCTGGTTTCAGGAAACCCTAGGGTTGAAAATCACCAGACAGAGCAGAAGACCAGGAGGCGTTATGCTCACAGCACATCCTGGGACAATGCATAGATGATATTAATTGTAGGCCCTTAAATAAAGGTTTCCATTGCTATGCACTATACGTAAATTAACTTGTTTGCTTCTCACAACAACCCACAAGGCAGGAACTGCTGATGCATAGAGAGGTTAAGGGAATTGTCAAAAGTCACAGCCAAGTACATAGACCCGAATCCAATCCCAGGCCACCTGGCTCCAGATCCCATGTGTGTAAGCACTGACCCATCCTGCCTTTCAGGTCCCTTCCCCCACTTCTACTTCCTTCCTCAGCTGGGGCCACCTTGGGAGCACAAAGCCAGCCCAGGCTCCTTCTGGCTGCCTGATGCCCCCAGCTCAGCCAGTCTTGACCGCCTTAGTCCCAGGAGACTCCCATTAGGAAGCTTCTGTGTGTGGTGGGGATGTGAGTGCCCAGGGATAGAGGGTGCAGAGGCACAAGACCCAGTAAAGAACGGGAGCAGGGAGTTTGGTTCCTACTTACAAGCAGCTGAAGACGCTGGCGCTCAGTCTCCGGGGTAAACTCCCGGGACATTGGAATGACCTCACCATTCCGGACAATGATGGCTCTGCCCAGAGACAGAAGAGGCCTGGCTTTCCTCAGTCCCTTCCATGGAGAATTCCAGAAACACCAGGCCCTCCCCATAACAACCCTTAGGATTCCTCACCCAGGTCCCTATCTTTCCTCACCCTTAACCTCCACCACCTCCCTCTTCTATTCCCCCACCCTAGAGAGTATGGGTCCTCATGGCCACTTTCAATGCCCTTCTGTCCCATACCTGCTGTCGCCTGCATTGGCCACATACACCTTGCCTAGCAGATACACCACAACCAGCGCACAGCAGCCCCCCTCCACTTGGTGGCCGTGCCGCTCCCAGGCCATCTGCTCATCCTGCCAAATCAGAAAGGGTCACAGGAGGGGTGCAAGAAGAACTTCAGGGCATGGAGTCACTGCCATCTGCAGGAATTACCTGGCCCAGCCAGGCCACACTGAGGGTAACTGTCCCTTCTTCCCCCTCTCAAAACCAAGCTTTACTCGGGCTCTAAAAGGTGTCGAGGGTTCTCAGGGTTAACCCCTTGGGCCACCTGAGTCCCACAGAGTTGACCAGAGTTGTGTGCCTAGCAGGTCCTTGGCCCAGTACTCACCATGAGCTGGAAGGCATTTTCAATGGCCCCTATCACTAGGCTGTCATGGGTCACTTCCTTCTGTGAAGACCAGGAGGGCTGAGGGCCAACCAAGTGAGGGCCATCCAAGGAGCCTGGGGCCCCAGGGATGGAGGGGAGGCAAAGGGGAGGTGGTGAGGGGTCCTGAAGGATTTCTACTAGGTCCTTTAGTTGCTCCCGGATGTGTCGATGCAACAGCCTAGAGGCCATTTCAGCAGCTCCGCCCCCTGCATGTCCGTCAAACAGACCCCAGTAGTAGAAGCAGAGTCCCTGGTGGAGGAAAAGCTGGAGGTGAGTAAGCCTCTATGTGTGAGTGAGAGAGCGTGTGCCTGTGAGTATGTGTGTGCGTGTTGCAGAACTCTGTAAGCATCCATATAAACATCAGTGGTCTGAGCTGGGTATTAAAGGCAAAGTAGGTTTATTTATTTATTCACTTAGGGCATCCTATGTGTCAAGAGCAAGGAAAATCTCAAGGAAGCCAAAGTTAGAGGATGAAAGATGCAAAAATCAACAGTGGTGATTAATTATAAATCACCCATAAATACACAGGCAGCTGAAGTGGAAAAGTAAACACTCATGCTGAGTAGAATCTAACAGATTAATCTCAGGGAAGGATTCCATGGCAAGGCAAAAAGCTAGCGGGTTAGAAGGTAGCTCCTTTCCCCATGTCTCAGATACAAAACCAAGGCCTGAATTCCCTGGGAGAGGTGTCACTGGGTCTCTGGAAGCTGGGAAGGGGGCGAGGGCTTACCTGGCCTCTGCTAGGCTCCCTAGGGGCCCCTGAAACACTCCTGCGGCCTTCCACATACACCACTTCACAGCAAGCCTGGTCCTCATTGTGCCGGCTCTTGCCAGCGTTGATGACCCTGCCAGCCAGAGTGACCACGTCAGGTTGGACACCAGATCGGGTCCTGGAATAACCCCCACCTTCGTGCACATCCTCTTCTGTGGGCTGGCCAAGCTGAGAAAGGTCACAGCCACCTGGGATCCAGGCCAGAAGGAAGAGAAGGGGGGGCCTCAAAGAGTACCGTCCCTGTGGTGGGCCCTTCTACCTCACAGAAAGACTGCCTGCCTCAGTCTCCTCATCTTTGGCAAGGGAGGCTTCCCCAGTGGAGCTGCTGAAGGAAGGGTCATATGGGGACAGGACGCGTTACCGTGTGGGCTTAGTCCCTTCCTTGCTAGGTGGGAGTCTATAGCCCACCTCTAACTTAAATCAGCTCTTCCGGTCCTTTGTCCCCAGCACCTCACACGCAGGACACACCTGCCCCCAACCCCAAAACCGGAGAAAAAAACCCAGAGAAAGTTTCTGGTCCTTTGGCCAAGAGGAAGTGTTTCAGCCCAGATCGGGGAAAAAGGAATTGAAAAAGCACAGTATAGTGGGCCCACCTGAACTGGGCAGAAGCCACAGAACCACAAACTCCTCCCACTTGAGAAGCTAAAGGGCAGGGTGTTGAGGAGACTGGACCACCAGACGCCTCCCTCTATTTCCAGCGCTCCCTTTTCCGTCAATGCTCGGCTTTCCCCGCAGATGTAAAGGACCGCGCCTGAGAGCAAGCTGGGGTCTCCGGCCAGCCGGGCAAAGGTCTATTTCTCCCCTGGCCCACGTCGGTCGGCACAGGGGCACCCAAAGGGGACGATCCCGCTGCCCTGGGCGGCCCCCGCCCCCGCCCCGGG